GCTGGGATGACAATCCCAAGGACTGGCACTCTTTGCTTACCCACAAAAGTGCAGGGAATGACAGTGTAACCTTCCTGTAGGGCATCTCATCAAATGACTCAGAGCTCTGTCAGAAGGACCAATGGAGATGTAGGTAATTCACATTCCATTGGTCATCCCTCTACAGGGACAGAGCATTCCAAGGCAATGCTAATGCATCTTGGAGATATTCTGAACTGCAATTAATTTCAAACAGTCAAACCTCCTTTGTTTGAGCCTAGCAAAAAGCCACTATATGTAAATGAAAGCATTTAGAAGCAGGATCATAAGTATAAACTATTAGAAAATAGGCAAAAGACCCAGAAAATTGAAAAAAATCCCTGGAGTAAGGAGGGATTCTAAAAAAAATACCTCACCTATGAAGTTTAACCACTCAACATTGTGCCAAGGTAACACCTGTCCCCTCTGTCACAGTTTGTGAGTTAGCCAGGGTTAAGTTCTGCTCCTCACAGTCATTCTCCTTTTTTTGCTAAGTTGCAATTTGCTGAGGGAAAATGAAAACCTAATTGTGCTAGTTTTTCCAAGTGACTCTGTGAAACAGGAAGAAGTAATGTTAAAATGCATAAATAAATGAATTCACCTGCCTATAAATTCTTGGCATAGAGATTTTTTGATTGCTCAGTCTTGTGACAGCAAGCTGTAGTTTCTTCTGCTTGTTTTGAAGTTCCTCTCACAGCAAACCAAGAACTAATTTTTGTCATTATAAAGAGAAGTTTTAAGTAACAGTGCAGAATTTTCTAAGTAAAACCAGTGGTACTATCAGCAGCCAGAGTATTGTAAGGAAGAAATCAAAGTTGTTTCTTAATCACTACATTATAAAGGACTTATGTTTTAAGTGATACACTTGAAAGGCTGACTCATCATCCCTGTGAAATCCTCTCTAGTGAAAGCTGCTCCATATGTTTAAGGTGGGAGTGTCTGAAAGAGCAGCTAGTATTTCTGTTTGAAATTTAGAATGGGAACACTCGTGGGTGAAGGCCAAGCTTCAGGAAAAGGCTGAGATTTTACTAACAGTCACTGGAAAGTGACTGAATACACTAGACAATTCTCTTGCACAACTCTGCCAACTGAACCTCATCCTGACCTGTAGCACCTTCACCTAAGCTGAAATAATTTACACAGCTGTGTAGAAACACTTTGGAGTGTCCTTATTCCACCTGCTGCTGTCCTGCTCTTGGCTTAATTTTAGAGTTTTGCTGGTTTTGATTCTGGCAAGGTCTGACTGGCTATAGGCAATTTATACAGGTCTGACAGTACCCCTGAATCCTCTCTTGCAATCCCATGTTGAATCTTCAAATAGATGCATATCAAATAGAATTAGTACATCTTTTATCCAGTTAGCACAGACTAGGGTGACATCCTAACTCACTTATGTTCTCTTCTGTTTACTTACAAAAGGAGTAACACCACTTTTTCCTAGACTTTTTTTAATTGAAAAAGTGAATTCTGCCTGATGCTTTGAAAAGGCCTTTGAAGAGGCCTAGGCTTTATATTTTTCTGTTATATACCCAAGAAACCCAAGAAGTACTTTAGTGTGTGTATTTTTAAAGAAAATAAAACTTCAATTTTCTATTGAAAGAAGCAGACTTACAATTTGATCTGTACAAATAACAAGTAGAAGAAGCCCAGGTATGCAATTCCACAAACTTACCTATTCTTTCTTCATCACCTCTGAGAGTCATGGTGTGTGTGGATACTACTAGACCTAAGCAAGTAATTCTGATAGTAAAAATGAGAGAAAACCTGCAGAAACCCCCTTCTCTGAGTCACTCAACCAGCCCAAAAGCTGAGCAACATGATGGGCTCAGTTCTAGGAACTCTGGCACGATGTTCAGATTGTCAGCCAAACAGACTTTTAAGTTAGATATTCCTCTCTGAGGCTGCCTTCTCCCTTGGTCTGCAAACAATTGCATTTAGCTGCATCTCCAGGATACTAAAAGTCCATGAAGCAACTCTGTCTACCTAATTGGGTGCGAGGAAAAATGAATCAATGGGGTCAATAAAACTTTCTGCTTTTTAATCTGCACCTGGCATAGCTTTTAAAGAGGCTTTGGAAAGAGAACAAAATAATAGAAGATAAATGGAGAACGTCTAGTTCACCCACTAGACCATTTGATTGTTCTCAAGCTATGGACACAAAGCTTTAGCTTTGAAGCAAGAAAATTGCACGATTCCTCACATCTTTACCCTACTCGCCTCTCTAATAGCAGCTCCTGTAAGAATGAGGCAGAGTTACCTTCATCGTGATTCTGGTGTAATATGACCTCTGGCTGAGCATGGATAGAGTTCCCAGGGTGGAAGAAAGGTGTGAAGAGCATACGAGCTTTCCTCTGCTTCAGGATATGCTGAAGGAGTTCATACAAGACATCACCTGAAAGATAAACAGCAGGAAAAAGGAAACAAAAATGTACATAACTGATGAGAAGACTCATTTAGCCATCTGATGCATGAACTCATGCCTCTTGGGTGCTATTTTCAGACCCAAAAATGCCTGCAGTAAAATCCTGCATTTCACTGCTTTGCAAGGTTCTTCTCTGAAAGGAAAAAAAGGCACATCACACCTCTGTGTGTGACTGTGGCAAAACAGGAGAACAACATTCCCTGGCATTGTAATTGTTCTGTCTTTCCTCAGTGAAACAGACCACTGCAATACCTAGGAGACCAATGCACTAACTGCTTATTTTGTGACTTTTATAAATCACATCTTTTATTGATGCCCTTCTTCCAACAACATCTACATAAAACACATAGGTACTTACACATTTTGACTGGTGTAACTGGTTGAACATTTCAAAGTGAAAATGTACATCACGGGGTAGGAAGTCTCTTGACTTTTAATTCTGCTTGCTCTCTTCTGTTTCTCACTGCTCATATTACAGAGGAACAGGTTGCAGCAATAACATATTAATTGAAAAGGAACTTGGGTTTCACTTAAGAAAACAGATTTTCTGAGAAAGTTATCTCAAGCATGTGGGTTTTTTTTTTTAGCAGTTGTTTCTACAAGATCGTAAGCTGTGCATCATTTGTCCCTTGTCTCTATAAACTGCCAATATTCTATTTGTGGACAAGTTTAGTTGCTCAGTGTGAAACAGCTAAAGCCATACAGCTTTCCATAGCTCAGCTTCCTTTATTTTTAACATCTTGGCTGCTTTTACTGTCTCAGCAGTGACTTTAGGGCATTTTTAAAAGGTGACTGCAGTACCTGAAAATTCAATTAAAAACAAAGCCCCAAGAACCCAGTTACATGGCAGTCTAAAAAGTGATTTTACCACATACTTTCCATAATTGAATACAATAGTGGCATAATCATAACACTCCAAGCAATAAGATAGCAAATTTGTACCTCTTTTGATTTGGCCTGACAGACTAGTGAAAATGTCCATAAAGTTGTCTGTCTTTTTTTTTTACCTAACATAACAGTTACACTTCTGCACCACCCAGATGTAGTAATGCTAGCTAGGATGGTGAAAAGCATTTTTCACTCTCTCCCTTCTCTGCTGCCCCCCTTCCCTGACCAGCCTGAACAGAACATCTGTGGGGCTGTGAGCCCATTTTATCGCTCGGACTGTGTGCGGTGGATGAGGTTCTCTTGGTTTAACCATGAGTGGAAACAATACAACTTTCATTTACCTTCAGTCTTGGAAAACTTAATGCCTCTATGGCAAACATTATTTCACAGTTCTTAAATTTCACAGACAGTTAATTTCTGGGAAATACTGAGGTAATGTCCTACCTACAGTCATCTAAATTTTTAAGGACTTACTCCAGATATCCTCTACAAGGTTTACTATCAAGGTTTATTATGGGGAACACATGGAGAGAAGAAAGAGAGAAAATGCAAGGGAGGAGGCCTTTAGTTTGGTTATTTCATTCTAAATTTACGTAAATAACTGCTTAACCTTCTGCATAAAGTAAGACTTTCCAAGTCAGAGGCTCTTCTCTGGGAACACTTTATTTCCAGCCTACAAATATTTTTAATCCTGCTCATTTCAAGTGCCCTGACAACACACAAAGGGGAATATACCTTCATAACTTCCACGCAGGAAGGTATAGCAAGGGGAGTGGCAGACAACATACATAAAGGTGTCCCTTGCAGTCCTCGCCCACATCCCTGCATTCAACGCTCCTTTTGCTTTAAGCAGAGCTAATTTTTTAAGAAAATGATTCCAAGTGGTATACCAGAATTAAAAAAAAAGACATTTCTTGGCATCAGTTCTCACTGACAACAGGCACTAACGTTTGGCCTCTTCTTCCATACAAAATAAGCACATGCTTAAAAAACTTCATATACGCTACACATAAGCAACAATTTGTGAGGCAGATTCTGCAGGAGGATGGCTGGGGAGAGTGGCCAAGCAGGCTGGTGCAGAATTACTGCCACAGCTTGATTATCAGCTGGATCCAAGCAGCACCAGCTGTACTTCAGCACCTAGTGAGCCTTGCACTAGAAGCCTCCTCGCAGCAATTCTGTCACCGCTTGGTCCAAGCTCTTTGATCACCTGTGGTGATTGAATTACAAGCCTTTATATTTAACAGGAGTACCTTGTATGGTCACAAAAAAAGGCTCACAACTCATATTTAGTTAAACATCCCTGACAAAGGAGGGCAGATGCTTACTCTGACTGTAAAACTGGAGCAGACAGACCGCAGGGGATATAAATACAGGCAGGCAACACGCACATTTCTAAATCTTCTTTGTGAGTAAGTGAAGACATAATTTGAGCAATAGGCAGACTGATTCACACACCTGTCCGTGCTGTGCCTTGGGCTGGATTCCAGCACACGAGAGAATATGGTAAAGTAAGGCAAAACCCACAGGGGCTGTTAAATAGAGGCAAAGTCCCCAAGGGAGGAGTTTTGCAGTTGCTTTTAGCAGCACCTCAGCCAAGTCAACTGTGAGGCAAAATGCTAATACGGGCTGCTTAAAGATTAACTTGATTAACTTGTTGCTGTAGTTGGGTCTGTGAACGGATAAGCCTTTACAGGGAAGAGCTGGAAGTCACAAAATGCTGCCAGAGAAGCTTGCTTTCTGGGAGCTCTGCAGGGAGTTTTACCTAATAAACAGGTTGGAGGTTTGGATTTGGATTTGCACCCAAATACGCCGACAACTCAGGTGTATCAGGATTTCGTTCCCTCTCTGTCCTTTTTGTCCTTGCCTCATACAAGTGTCCCTGTCCTCTGTCTCCCCTCCCTTTCCCAGTCTACTCCAATAAAGGTGACCGTTTCCTCCTATGACCCTGTTCAGCTTTTGTTGCAGCTCCCTCCCTCTTTTCAATCACAGCTTCTGTAAAAAATTCTCACCCGAATGAGGAGACCTGTATCGGAAGTCCTCTTTGGTCAGGAGCAGCAGAGCCTTGCCGTTCATCTCGAAAGTGTTGCTCTCGATCGGCCTCAAGGAAAACTCCTTCTCCGCCCACCTGAGCCACTGTGCCACATCATCCCTGCTCCAGTAAACCGGCTGCAAACCTGTGGCAGGAAGAGACCGTGATTGTGTTACCAAATTGAGGCAAGGAATGGGAATGTGGGTAAGTATCAGTGAACCCCCCTTCCCTCCCACACCATAACGTACAAAGTCTCAGAGGGAAGTGTAGGAGAGGAATGTCGTATTGATGCAGAATTACTCTAAGCGCTGGACTGTGAAATACTTCATTAGCTTAGGCACCTTGGTTTATCTGTGACATACTGTGAAACAAGAACTGCCTCAGCATCCCGGAAAAAAGCTCCTAAAAATTATTTCATTTTGGATTTCCACAGTGGGGTTTTCCTCCAACTGCTCCTTCTAATGTGCAGAGCAGGCAGCAGGCAAAGTCCTTGGCCCCATCCATCCTTGGTGTGTATCCTTTCATGGAAGAGAGGTGTGCTCTCTCTTCACACCCCTTGTAAATTTATGGATGAAAAATAACGAGAAGTTGTCAGATGCAAAAGAGCTGTGACTTCCCTATAGGTGACTGGGGTCTGTAAGGAAGGGCTGCTTAACACAGCCTCTGTAAGCCATTATCAGTGCACATGTGGTTGAGAGAGGTGTATTCAGACAGGCCCACTCCTCCTCCAGATGCCATCACATTAGCAGATGCTATTCTCACACTACAGAGGAAAACCAGTACTGAGACCGTGGCATCTTTAGCACTGCGTTTCCTGTATAGATATAAAATATTAGCAATGTAACTCTCCCCATAGAAGGGGATATATCATTTTATGGCAAAATAGCAGGGACATCTATTGGTTTGGGCACAGATTTTCCAGGGTGCCGAGGAGAATCTGGCACTCCCTTTCTCCCAGCCAGCTCGTACAGCAGACAGAGCCTAGGCTACTGTGTTTACTCACAGGGGCCCAACCAAGTTACCACCAAAATTTTGCCTGCTACCTTTATTGGGCCCAGGCAGAGAAGCTTTGGAGGTAAGACAATTCAATATCTGTTCTCCAGACAAATTTAAATAGTTTCCTTCCCCTGATAGAAGGAAACTACCCAAGTAGAGAGATTATCTCCAATCCACTGGGTGATAAAAGCTTTCTCTTTTTTTTTCCCCTGGTGAGATGACTCATTGTTTGACTTGCTACAAAGCTTACCCACTGTGCACAGGAACATAAAATTTGCTGTATCTGATCAGATCTCGGGTACACAGACTCTGGCAGAAGCCAGTACCTTATGCTTCAGAGGAAGATGAACCTCCCTTCCTTGTATTGCACCTGGCTGATTGTATGCTGCACATGGGAAGAAATTTCCTTCCTGGCACACCATTCTCTGAGATCTGATTACCCTCTTCCTACCAAACACTAAAAGAAACCTGGGAGAGTCGTACCACTCCTGTTTTGGTTTGGTTTTTACTTCTTTAACAGATAGGCAACTCTTTTTTTCTGTTTTAGCAAGAGGTAACATGCAGTGAATTGCATTCTTCTGCTATGCCAGATTCCCAAACAATGGCTTTGGAAAGTCCCAGAATCACAGCTGCATACAGAACTGAACCTCTGTCAGAAAAGGAATTGAGATCATGCCTGAGAAAGGATCAGAGTTGACCTAAGGAAGGGACCTCTGCATGGCAGTAGCAAGAATTTCCTCTGGCTTTTAACTGCACTGTATTATGTGCCACACAGAAACAAGTAGTAGCAATTATTTATTTTTGAAGTATTTGAATTCTATTTCCCCTGTGAATTAGGGTCTGCTTATTTGGGTCAGAGTTTTCTGTAGGACCTTTCTGAAGAGCCTGAACTGAGGTGAGGTGCAGATTTGCTCAGAGACATGGAAACCATCATCTGAAATCCCAGAATGGGGTTCATCTTTTGCTGAATACAGAGCTATTCCTGCAGAAAATACACTCCAGACCCCAGGCTGCTGCTAGGCAGCATGCACATTGACTGCAGCTAAAAGAGAAAGAAGTAAGACATGATGCAGCCAGACTACAACATACAAAAGGGTTTTAAAAGACCATCTGAGGAGTGCTTGAAATGCTCTTGTGTGGTTTCTTTTGTCTCCCTCTTTGCCATGCCATGCAAGTCACAAATTGCCCAAAGGAGAACTAACTAGACTTCTGATATGCACCTCACAAGATGAGGCATGAAACAAAAGAAAACATCACTGGGAAAATCAGGTTGACAAGGACAGAGTTGTATGATAACTTCACATGAGGTGTGTGCTCCCTTTTATATATATATATATCAACGTAATAAATAAACCACTCCCTGTACAAACACAGGCCAACATTTCCCATGTGCTGGTGACAATGTACTTTTGCCATCCGTCCAACTAATACAAAAGTACATGTTAAAAGAGAGGTTTAGACCAACCAGTGCTAGACCCAGAGCAGCCAGGTAAGTTAGACTGGGACAAGCCATGAGCTGTGCTGGCAACTCTGAAAGAGACCCAACGCTTCACACTGCAAATCAGGTCTCTGCTGGGTTCCAGCAGCATCGCTGAAGCTTGTGAGAAAAGCCACAAAGTAATGTGACCTCGGACCACTTGGCTTGAAATTACTAAGAATCAGCAAGCAGCCAGTCTAATTCAGTTTGGCTGTCACTAAAATGAGTGGGTGGATGAGCCATAGCTCTCCATCCGTGACGTGACACCGTAATTAAATACTTACATTGTGTGGAAGACATAAGGTGCTATAAAAGAAGTTAACTGCTTTTTCCTAGATGGATTGCTTTTTTCTTTTGTTTCCCTCCCTTCCTGCACTGCTGCTTTCCTGGGAAGTTAGTTTCTCAAAAACACAAGTCCTCACTGCATGCCCATTTGTTTTGTGAGGCTGAACCAGTTCAGTCACAGAAGACTTTTCTAGGGGTGCACACCAGTGTTGCTAAAAGTGATTCAGAAACTGTCATTCAAAAAATAATTCTTTCATGTGCAGCACAGCATCTGCTGAACTTGTAATGCCACCTTCTTGGACCTTTCTTAAAAACAACTACTTGGTTTTGTGAAAACAAGGTCATGAGAAGGTTGGCTTTGCAGCTGAAGGGATTTTACAGCACAGTGTACATCACTATCAGTAGATCCTGAAAATGCTTTCCTGTACTGTCCATGAAAGAAAACTTAATCCCGCTCACACTATTTTTCTTCTTTGGATGCTGGTTCTTATTTTCCCCTCTCCATCTTCTCTTTTAGTCTCATGCACACAGTGGAGGAAAATGGGCTCTTTTTATCTCTTTAGCTTTATTCTCTGGAAAAGCTAACAGCAGTGTCTTCAACTAACAAAGATATTTACCAAGCAGAATGAAATGGGGAAAATGAGAGCTGTGTTGCAAAATGAGGGCAGAGTTTTGCCTGATGAACTGACTATTGAAATCAGCGTTGAAGGTTTTGCTGCTTTCAGTAGGTGCAGATCAGATACAGGGGAAGCTGCCCTTCTCCCAGCCTGGCCTCTTGGTGGCCAGTGTTGCCAAGGACTTCACAAGAGTGAATTTTGACCTGAGAGTCAGACCTGTCTCCGCTCCCATCTCTGGCATTGCTCCCCTGGTTGAAATCTAGCAAGCATTCCCAACTGTGGCCTCCTTATCTCTATAGTGTAAAAATAAACAACAAAACCTCCTTGAACTCAATAGCTGAGAGCAGGTTAGACAAAGGTGCATAACCCATCTAAAACTGGCTCTGTGAGATTCAGTGCATTTTCTGCCTTCTGTACGTTTCCAAGCACCACCTCCAGCAGAGTAAAATGCAGTAACTTATTGACATGTTTATAAGCTGACAGCTTCATATGCATTAAACAGGGAGCAAAATTCGTGCTCACCTTTCTAATGCCGCAGGCTGGTGCACTGGTGTCTTAAGAGATTATCTACTTCTGCGGCATATTCCTCACCTGAAATCCTGTTTTTAACACCTGTTACACCAGCTACCTTATAAATGGTGGGAACGATCAATTCTCATGCTGCAGGGCACAAGCTGGTAATCATCTGGAGTGCAGAAGAAATCCACACTTCATTCCTTTCTATTCCCAAGCAGCAAATCCAAGCACAATGGAGAGGAGCTGATGAGGTAATTTACACTTTGAAGTAGCCAGTAAAGGTGTTTAGCACTTACACCAAGAGACAGAGGCATGAACAAGATGAGCGCTCTGCTCACCTGGTATAACCTTCTGCACACTGAACTACACAGCCAGCAATATTTGCATCTGACCACAGAGTTTTGGTGGGGTTACAACTTTGCTTTTTGAAGAGATGTAGCCAACCTTGAATCTTGCAAAGCACTCATATTCAGCATCTCCTTCTTTGGTTGGGAAGACAAGGTATGTATTTTACAGGATGAGTTGCTACGTACAGTGCATGTAACAGATACATCTAAAATGTGAACTATGATGTACCACAGGCTGTTTTCACCTTGACTCATTTTGGAACAATCTGAAGACACAAATCCAATGCGAAATGTGATGTAGAGTACCACTGAGAGCTGCTGTTCCGTTTTGGTTTTGATATGAGGACACAGCTACACGACAGCACGCGTGATGGAAGCACCATTCGTAGTAAATTTTGTCTAACTTTTTTGTTCCTCTTCAGCGAGGCTCTCCACCCTCAGGCCTGGCTGCCTGGCAGGCAGGATGATGATATGAGAAGGGAGTAAAGACAGACCTCTCATTTATCCCTGCTTTCTGCAGGGCAGACAGAATTGTTCACACTCCCACGCCAAAAACTACTTAGCATGGTTGGGCAAACAGCAAAAGGGACAGTGTATGCAAATCAGCAGCTGGTTTCTGAATACCCAGGGACAGATGCACCGTCACTGGCAGCATGAAGGAGGCCAGCTCTGTCTCTAGCACAGTACTTTGAACCGTTAGTTGGAAAATGATGATGGAGAAGTTCAGAAAACTTGAAAGTGTGCTACCAACTAACTCTTTAGGAACTGATGCTCTCTTTGTTGTTACTGATTAACAAAATTTTTCCACGGTCCCATAAAGCATAATATGTAGCTCTGAGTACGATGATGTATGTCAAGCAGGAGTGGGGCAAGAGGTTGTGGGTTTTTTTTAATTTCTGTGTAAAGGCAACACAGTCTGAAAAAAAACCCCATATGATTAGATTTAAATCCTTCTCCCAGAGCACC